AAAAAAAAAAATACAGCACATAGAAATCTTGACTAAGAGCTTACAAAATTGAAAATTGGAATCAGTGCATTTTAAAATCTTAGGCATATTTTAGCAATATGTTTGTTTTTTTTTAAAAAAAAGCAATTATCAAAAATTAAGAAGTACAAGAAAATATGAGGAACTTACCACCCACATATATCCTCAGTATTAGCATTTTGGCATTTAACTTCCCTTTCTTGAAATAAGTGTATATGTGTGTGTATATATACACTCTCTTCATAAAATACCGTGCATACCGTTTTTTTTTCACTTACAGTGTATTTTTCCAGTTCATTAATTATTTTTTTATATCAGGATTTTTAGTGGCTGTGTATCTTATATATTGACAGTTTTGTTTTGTAACATTTTTTAAGCACCTGCTAGGTATTACGTACTTGTGCTGGGAACATAAAGATAAGTAAGACCCAGTTCCTTGCCCTTGCTGAGTTGCTAGTTAGGAGGGAAGAGAGACTTGTATCAAATTATCATAGTACAACTTGGTATGTATGTGCATACTATAGAATGTTAGGTGCAAGAAACTGGGAGCACAGGGTATGGGAAGGGAGGATACTGAGCCCACTGGAGGTTATTCCAGGAATGGGGCTTAGTGTAATTTAAGTTCCATCTCTTAGGTCTTAAAGGGCAAAGAAGTATATGCCAGCATAAGGGAGGCTGGAGGCACTGGCCACTTATTACAATTAATACTTCACAGGAGTAGGACTGGTTTTCTCCAAAGAACATTTTAAAAACAGACTTGGAAGCATACATTTGTCAACTATAGTATTTATAAAATTGTAGCAATTCAGTAGTACATGAGAATTTGTACATAATAATTAATTATAGTAGTAGAACCCATTTATGACTTGGGCCAGTTGTAGAATTGTTTTCCTTTAAAGTAGTGGCAAAATCATGGGAGGGTTATAGTGATTTTTCGTGATAAAATAATAAATCTATCAGAGTATTACACAGTGGTGCTAAGGTAGATAACTAGAATATCCTTTTATTTTTTGATATACCTAAAGGGGTGAGGAGCATAAATAATTACAGGGCAACTATACACAATGATGACAGGATTTGCCTTCATCATCCTTGGATTTGTATATTATGTCAGAACTCTCAAAGTGATAAATAAATGACAGAGGTGCATTTTGTCATAAAGAATTTTAACAGCATTTCCCCCACTTACTAGACTAATAAATCTGTCCCCTACATCTCATGATAAGAATGGTTTATGATGCCTTTTCTTCCAAACTATTTGATATTGGCAATTATTAAAATATACCCTTGGCATAAAATTGTCTTTTAGACCAGTAAACATTCCCTTGTTACATGGTTGTGTTACATTTTTCCTCTTTCTACAGCTTGTTCTTCGAAAATGGTGTGAATTAATTCCTGGGGCTGAGTTCCGATGTTTTGTCAAGGAAAACAAGCTTATTGGTGAGTTTTTTTTACCCATTAAAAGAAGACAAGATTTTTTTTTTCTTTTTAAGTTTATTTATTTTACTTTTTTTTTTTTTTAA